GGTCTCCTCTGCATTCACGCAGAGAAGCGGGTGCTTTATAATATTCTATTATTGTGGCAGCCACTGCATCAGATCCGGCTCCTCTTCAATTTCTTGCTCCTTATGCAGGTTGTGCTATGGGATAATTTTTCCGAGACAATGGAATGCACGCTCTAATTATCTATGATGATCTAAGTAAACAATCAGTGGCATATCGACAAATGTCATTATTGTTACGTCGTTTATTCTACATAACRATGGAAGCKTTCCYAGGAGATGTSTTTTATCTACATTCTCGTTTATTAGAAATAGCTGCCAAAATGGCCTCTTACACAGGGCTGGACCACAAACCAATAGAGCTAGTGCTATGCTYTGACCAAGTGGTCAAAAAGGGTGCCAGTTTCCTCAAGCTTAACAACTCCCTCCTACTCAGCCAAACCTTCCAAAAGGAGGTATGTGATTGCTGGAGGGACAGAGGTCAGCACGCTCGAGTTCAGAGTCCCGGTGGGATTGGTTCCAAAAAAGTTATTCCATCSTCTCAATTACTGCGGTTAAAATCTCTAGAAAGCTCRCGTCCATAAGGAAGCAAAGGAGACAATCTCTAGAATTTGCTTTAAGACCGGCTGAAACCAACTTGATGAATAACMCCTCCTCGCCACTGTATAATGACATCTTTGAGAAGGCACGAGAGGTACTGGCAATTTGGAGGTGGTGGGACTTGAGGCCTACAAATAAGAGCCAGGATGCTAAACCCTACAGTCTRCARAATCCCCTAACTGATTACATTGTACGTGATAATCCACCTTAACCCCGGTTGTGGTTGAGCATCAACGACTGCCTGACAACTGGTAACTTGACGTGGGCACCAACCACTGCCCTCAAGGTACCCACGACGGAAATCAAACTAGACTCACAGCCCCTCGTTTGTTGTCCGCTTCTACCTCTCTGCCTTTTATCGGGCAACTCTGTTTGGCAATAAGTACCTGTCAGTCCGGATTATGCTTTTTGGTTACAGTAAATCAACTCTCTCTCTCTCTCTCTCTCTCTCTCTCTCTCTCTCTCTCTCTCTCTCTCTCTCTCTCTCTCTCTCTCTCTCTCTCTTTGTTACATTCACAGATATGCAATGTACGTAATAACCGAGGAACTGCAATGTGATGAAAAGGACTGAATGGAGTGTATAGTGCGAGTAGAATCTCGACAGACAATGTGCATTCTCATACATACAAAAGGTGCTGAATAGCGCAGGGAAGACTTTGATACAAAGACTGACCTGACAGGACTGACCTCATTCACGTAGTTCAGAGTAGCGAAGCAGAATGCTAGAGTAGTACTAACTAGCCCAATCAATGTTTGAACTCAGACTAAACATGCATRGTAWCCATCACCAAGTGTGAAGGAGCCTGRYGCTGTACACAGGAAGAAAGCGCCAGGTCCAGACATACACAGACGAAGAGATAAGGATCAGACGAAAGGAGGGAGAAGGATGGAAATGTCGTTAACACCAAGTCTTGGTCACCCATCCCAAATCAGTCCCTCGTTGCCATGTCTGAACCCCCAAAAGTCGAGTCTGGATCAAATGCCACCAAGCTCTGTATCTCTTCTCCCATAGTCTGCAGATGCAGTGAAGTCAGAAGTGGAGAGGGAGAGAAGAGATGGTGGACTGAGAAGAGGAAGAAGAAGAACTCTCTCTCTCTCTCTCTCTGTTACGAACCAGATACTAACCTGTGATGTTGGCGCTGTGCTGCAGGTTCCTCGAAGACGAAGCTGGAGCAACGGCGCTGCAGGTAGGTACCTCTGGCCTCCGCCCACGCTCTCTCTCTCTCTCTCTAGTACTACCTAGCTATGGCGCCCAGTGCTGGAGACTACAGCTACCTACTGCGCCCAGCGCTGAAGACTACGAGCTAAAGCTACTACTACTACACTGCAGCGCTCCCTCCAGAGTGCTGCTCCCGAATCCTGAAGACTACAACTGCCGACTGCCTGCCTCGGAAGTGCCTGGGAAGTCCTATGTACTACCTCGGCCTGCCTCCTGACTACTGGAGGGCGAGTCAGGCCGAGGAGGCAGCTCTTGCCAATGCCGAAGTGTGCCAGGGGCTGGCGTGCAGCAGCCTGCTGAGGCTGGCGTGGGAAACAGACTAATAATAGTCTGTTCCCGAAACCCTGGTTCGGTGCCTGAGTTTCAGGGTCGGTCGTTCTGATGAACGGTCGACAATGGCCCTTCGTTGCAGGCTAAGAAGGCTATTGCCATTTTTAGTTTGAAACGACACAGGGATAGGCCCTGAACTTCAGGCTTTCGGGCTGAGCCGACAGGGGGCCTGTAAGCCCTGGATTTCAGGCTTTCATCCTGAAATTCAGGCTTTCGGCCTGAAGTTCAGGCTTTTGGCCTGAAGGACGCAGGCCTG